GATGTATTGCAGTATCTCCCCCTTGGGAACATTTATTCTATAATGAGATTATTGTTACTAGGATAAGGGAGGTAACTTCTACTTTAAACACCCAACAAGCAAATGCAAAAAACAACATGCTCACTCATAATTCAAAGAGTACTAAGAAAATAATTAGTACATTTGGTCAGCATTTTCTCCGTATCCAAAGATATGTAGGTATGTCTTCTTCATATACTCTTCAGCTTCCCAAGTGACTTCTCCAACAAATTGGTTCCTCCAAAGGTTCTTGGCTGATGCAACTTCTTCTGTACTCAACTTGATAATTCGACGAATTAACTGGAACGTCTTCATAAGATAAGATAGCCTTGATCCCAATATTTTTAGCTGGTATGATCAAAGAAGGATCTCCCATGCACTTCTTCTACATGGAGACATGAAACATCGGATTGACTACTGCTAACTCTGGTAGTAGTTCTAACTCATAAGCTACATTGCAGATACTCTTGGATATTCTGTAAGGACCTAAATATTGGAGACTGAGCTTCCCCTTCTTACCAAATCTCACAACAACCTTCATAGGTGAAACTTTCCTGTAACTCCATCATCTACTATTGGTACACAAAACCTACCTTGATATCTGAATACACCATCTCTCACTTGTTCAAAATCCATTACTTTTTTGCTTATGAAACTTTGCCTTTAATTAAAGAAAGATAGGGTCTTGGTCTTGTTTTCCTATTACTTCTCACACTAATAATGATTCAAACCTATTAATCACCTTTATTCCTCGTTCTGTGGAATCCATTAATCGAACTCCTAATCATTTAAGCCTCTACGAATATTTTTGCTAAACCTTTCTTATTTTCCTTTATATGGCACCCGTAGAGAACTTGTTCAGTGCTTCAACAACAATACTAGTCTTACCTAGGTGATCAACAATATTCTAGTCATAATCTTTGTGTATCTCTAACCACTCTCCCTATTTGAGATTAAACATTCTAACTTAACACATCTTGAAGACCCTTGTGATCGGCGAACACAACCACATAAACACCATAAAGATAATAACACAATATTTTCAAAGAGAATACTGCAACAACAAACTCTATGTTATGGGTTTGGTAATTCTTCTCATGAACTTTCAATTGTCAAGGAGCAAAAGCTATAACTTTGTCATTCTTCATTAACACACAACCTAAACAAAATCTTTATGCATAAAAATATACCAATAAACCTTGAGTACCTTCAGATAAAGTCAAAACTTGGAAGTAGTCAACTTCACTTTCAATTCCTGAAAGCTTTTCTCACAAGCTTCATACTATTGTCTACCTCAATTTTGTCAAATAAAACCCTTATCTAGAAAATCTTTTAATTATCCTGTAACACCTAGTATTTTACGTGTAATAGTTCTATTTATATAATACTTATAAATTTCCTTGTAGTAAAGTTATGGATTCGGTTTCCTATGCGGCTAGTGGAAATATCACAGGTTTAAATGGAACTTTCCATAGATTTTTGTACGATCCTATTAAGTTGACATCGATGGAAGCATTTAAATTTGAGCTAATAAGGTGGTATTTGAGTCTAAAGTTTACAATGACATAGAGTATATAAGTTTAAAGTTATGTTAAAGTTATTAAGGTCTAGAAATAGAATAAAGTATTGAGTTGCTTCCTTGACTTCACTAAGCTAGTAGGTAAGAAGTAGGTGCATCACCTACTTTGAGTTATTCACCATCCCAGAGGACCAAGTAGGTACATAACTTGCTAATACTTTTTTTACCATGTTATTGGGCCAAGTATACTACACCTACTTGTATTAATCTTGCCTGAGTTGAATAGAAGAATAAGGGGAAAATGGAAAGCCAAGAACCAATCTTCCCAAGCCCATAAGAAATAACTTTAGTAAAAACTAGGCAAATCACATAGTATAAGAAAGAAATTACTTCCTATCCCCACTCTTTCATTAGTTACTAAAAATCCCCCTTTTTAGTGTTTTTTTGAAACATAATATTGTAGGTACATACTTTAATTAATAATGGTTGACAATTAAATTATTAAGTTGTTGTTATCATTTTAAGTATTAAATAAGGGATTAAAAACAAAAATTAATTGATTCTCACAAATCACGCGTATATTTCTTTCTTCAACCAATCAGTCATAAACCTCTAACTTAATTATAATTTTAAATTTTTTAAATTGTGAAATCTTCTTCCTTTTTATTCAAAAAACATTAAAGTTTGATTCAGACAATTTTGGAACACAATTTGTGAAGATTCCAAATGAATATTATGATCTAGAAGTTATATGATAGTAGTTGGAGAAAATATTTCGTTTGTAAATCTTATTTCAACAATTGCACTTGAATTGAGTATTGATTAATTGAAATAAAAACATTGAGATCAGATATATTGTTGAAAATTATTTGTCTCCATTATGTATTCAGAATGATATGGGGGTGAAATTGTACATTGGAATGATGAAACATCTTGTATAAGATTCAGTATGTATTCACTATGCATTGATACATCGGATAATAGTGATGAGAGGCATAAAATTTTGATGCAATAACAGGTGAACTGTGTGTTGAAGGTGAAAAAAGGGACGCAAACATGTACTTTCTTCCTGAAATATTCTTGATACTTGGTTTTTTGATGTATTTTTATGCTAAATGTCTAATAATTCTCAAAGTAGATACTTTATGAAGTACTTTTAGGTTACTATTATGTGATGCGAAAAATGAAATATGTTTTGTTTTCAATTCTGGTTACCATTTTTTATTCTTAATTTTTGATAAAGTTAGTTTGGTATGCATTGTTGTATGTGTGATACTTAGTTGTTTGTAAATTTTGTATTGGATAGAATAATAGTATCAATAGTTGTGATATGTGCTAAAGTTAAAAGAGACGACATATAAACAAGGTATCATTTGAAGCAACGATATATCAGCTATATAATATATTTTTTTTCTCAATTTTTTGTCTACTAATAATAAAGTATCGAATATTCTGCAGTTGAAAAAAATGATGCTGATACTTAATAAAAATAATAAGCTTTAATATGATACATAAAAATGTGAAATTGTACTTGATACATAATTCTAACTATTATAAATCAATCAAATTGATACTTAATAGATACAATAAGCTTTAATATGATACATAAAAATGTACTTGGTACATAATTCTTACTACGGATTATAAATCAGTCAAATTGATACTTTATAGAAATAATACTAAACAGAAACAATAAGCCAACTGATGAAACATTGTTATTTACCTTGGAAGGTAAATAAGCCATTTTTAAAGATTCAATGCTTGCATTACCAGATAAAAAATTGTCTTGTCATCTCAATACAGTAGGATTCTTGGACGGTCACGAAAATAAAGAAAAAGAACTCAAGTGATAAGGCAACTACGAACAAAAATCGTTGTGGACGTTATAGACATGAAAATCACAACACGCGATCTTGTACTTTCTTACCCAAAGAAAAGTGATACATTTTTTTTTATAAAAATACATTCAATTTCCAATATATTGAGGGGTTATAATTAAATATTAATAAATAGAAATTTGTTCAACTTTGTGTATATTTCTGCTGGAAAAAAATTTAATCATACTGTTAAACTATTAAATTTTATAATATGGTAAAATACTTATATAATATTTGTTTTTTTAATGATAATGTATTTGATACTTGATGATTGTGAACGACCATATTTACTGTACCTTTAAGTTAAATATCACATATAAAGGAAAGATAAAATAGTATATTTGATACATTAATTTATGTAATTGGTACATGTTGAAGTATACATTGTCGTGGTTAGATATAAAGTCTATCTTTAACTTAATAAATAATATCTTAAATGATAAAATTGTGTGATAGTTAAATTTATAAAACTTATTTTTATCAGATAATTTTTCAAAGTATCCTATTTTGTATTGTAAACCACAAGAACTATAATTATAAACAAAAATAAAGAAAAATATACAAACTGAGATCAAAATTAAAATACATTAAAATTTAAATTCAAAATAATTTTTTTAAAAGAGAAATAACCATTTACCCATAAATCAACCTCTTAAGATTGTTAATCCTAGATAATTTTCTTCAAAGATAACACAACTGCAACAATTCTATCCTTTTCTGGGGGTTCTTCCACATTTGCTTTAGAAGATGAAGTTTCATCCTTCTTCGGCTTCGTCTTCTAAATATTATAATTCTTCATTGTTAATTGATCTACAAGATTTAGGATCTATTTTCATCCCAATCATCATCATCGAAATCATAATAAGTTGATTAGATCTATTTTCATGAAGTTTTTCATCATCAAAATAAAATACACAAGGTACCATACTAAAAAGACGAAGCAAAATTCATATGTTGAAGAAAATTGTAAATTAAAAACAATACATTTTTAATAAAAAACGAAATCTAAAGAACAGAAAATAAAAATTAATGAAAAAATAGTTCTACCTTTTTAGGAACTTCAAATTGATGAATTTGAGAGAGATAAATTTGAAATCATAAAAATTGAGTGATTGATTTAATTGTTGATATATGAGAGTGATTTTGGATGTAAAAATAGGAACCAAAACATTGGATTGGAGGGGAGGTAAATAATGTATCTGCAAAATAAGAGAAAAAGGAGGAAAAGAGGGATTTTGAAATACTTTAAAATGATAGGGAATTTTACAAATTATGAAAAGAATGATTGTGTAGTTAAGTAATTTTTCCATAATTTTAATCTAAAACTAGGTGCATCACCTACTTAGATCTATGGTCTAAATTAAAGATACATGCTGGCTGCAAATTAAGTATAAGTAACGTGGAAAAACGCCCAATGTTCTTAAGTAAAAATGGCCCATTTAAAAAGTCCAAGTAGGTGGGTCACCTACTTGACAAATTATGGCCCAAAATGAGTGAGAATGTCGGCCAAAGAATGTCCATTTAAAAGGGCTTGATATCAGATTTTTCAACCATTTTTACTTTGACAATAAACTAATTTCTAGAGCTTTCTCTTTTCTATCTCGTAGCTTCATACATCAACCATTAAATACCATTAGTGTTCTTTAATATATGTAATTCAAGCTATTGGAAGGTATAGTTTAAAACAAATTAAAATGTACAACATTTACCTTGAAGAATCCAAGTCGTGGTAGTTCAATCCGACAATGTAAGCTACTGCAATTTTCTCCCTCTTGTGCTTGAATTAATAAGGACACTTGGTATGTGGTAGGGAGTTGGAAATTGTTACTTTTACATTTGTTTCTTCTTTGTAATTTGTATCATGATTCAATCAAAATTTCTCGAGTTCTTCTAATTTGTAACTTCACTGAAATCGGAAAATATTGGGGAGGATATTCTGGTAATTAGTGCATGTTGGGACAGACATGGAGGGGAGTCCTCTTTAAAAGTAGTTATGAATTGTTTAGATGTTTTATAATTAATTTTAGCTCTTCAAGTGCTAGTTATCAGAAACCATGATTCATATTGCTTTTTCTACATTAAATAAGGTTTAAGGATTGTTTTATGTATGTAATGATAAGGGAGTTGACTGGAGGAGTGGAGAACTTAAGGAGACTTTAAAAAACTTAAATATTGTAGGGAGTTTTAGGGAGGACCAGATATGAAGGTTGTACAGTATATAGACATGATCTAAGGGGAAGGCAAAAAAATAAAATGTTGGCTAGATAAATTGCATCCCTACTACTTGGCTACTATTTTGGCGACATCAAGTAGCTCAAATTGATTGATTATCTACTAATACTAATCTTATAACTTATTTTATCGTAGATTATTATTTTGAAGAGAAAGATCTTAATTCACTCTTTTTGAATTGTATAACATGGCATGTAAGACTATTCTATTTCTTATTTCTTTGGCATGAATGCAACACTTGCATTACAAAAGTAAGCTTTTAAGTGCCCTTGGTAGTGACTGATCCATAGTTGCAGTTCGTACTTTCTGGAGCATTAAAGTGAGTACTCTAATTTGAGTATATTACTAAATTTACATGCCTACTATACCAAGCATAGTCTTAATCTAGTTTCATCATCAAAATATCCTTGCACACATTTCCCTTTATCTAAATCAAATGTATCCAAGATTACACATGGTACAATGTGCCTATATCATGCCAATTTTCTCCAATTTCTTATTGATATGTCTTTTTGTCACATGTTAATATGTTCCCTGTCGTGGTTATTACTCCCATTGTGTTAGACTATTTACGTTAACTCATAGGATCACTACTTGCGCTATTGTACGTTTATAAGTACTTACTTGGAATATGTTTATGTCATTAAGTTAAATCTATCCACGTTCTCCTTTGGTTCCACTTTCATGTGTACCTTGTATTTGGTAATAGTTAGTTACTATTTGTCTATCATATCTTGTTTTAATATCTTTGTTGAATGTTAAATTCCTTCACTTGATAAGTGCTTCAATTTGAGATATCAAAATGAATATTAAGTTATATAAGATCCTAGTATCACACATTCATTTCATATTTGCTTCCAATGTAATTGTTATTATTGTAAGTCAATAGTAATATATCTTCTACTATCGATCTGTAGTTTCAAATAAACAAGGATTATGACAACCAAAACAGAAGTCAAACTTGTTATGAACATCAAAATAACAATCTCAATAATTAAATCATCTAAGTGAAGCAATCTGTATAAGTATGGGTGGCTGCTCAGGGGACAAAGCCTAGCATTGGCCGATCCTGATTGGTATAAGAGGATGGTAGCTCAGGGGAGAAATCCTACATGGTCCGATCTCAATTGGTCTAAGACGGTGGCATCTCAGGGGTGAAAACATAGTATGGGCTGATCCCAATTTGTGGAATTATGAATGAAGCATTTCAGAGGTAAAATGTGTAGCATAGATCATCCTTTTCTATCGCTAATCAGCTGGTCATTCGTATCATATATCTTATAAAGATTATACAGTAAAATAACGTATTGAAAAGAATGTAACATGCACGATTCCATAAGTGCAAGCAAAGTTAGTGTGTAATCCTTATCTATTGGTATTTTGTTTCACTTGAGCTCTCATTTTACATGTGGTTGTCATATTCAATACATTCTTTCATACTAACGAGTTATTAGGGGCGCTGCATTTCATTCTACAGGAACAAGTAGTCAAAAGTAGATCTCCCAAATAGAAGAACATGATACTCAATGGTTTTTGGCGATCTCCAGGTTGATTAGGGTCTTTTCCGAGTCTCTACTATGCTTACTTTTGATACTTGCACATTATAATACCTCGTATCAAAAATAAACAAGAAATAAGCTATTCAAAAATCTGCTGTTGCAATTGATGATCATTATCGATGGACCGTAGTCTGCTTTATGGCCCATACTGCACATCCGTGTTTGTGAATGAAACTATCCCATGACGCAGCCCAGAAAAATTGACTAAGTGAGGATCAGCGGATACAAACTACGGACCGTAGTCTAACTTACGAACCGTAGGGCTGTCTGTGGATCAACACTTGGTAATTTTTTTAGGGATCCATCATGGGAGAGTTTCAGTCACAAACGACGGATATGTAATATGGGTCGTAGATCAGACTACAGTACGTCGATAGTGATCATCGATTGCACTTGCAGATTTCTGAAAGCTAATTTCTTGTTTATTTTAGTTATAGGGTGTTACATTATCTCTCCCTTGGGAACATTCGTCCTCGAATGAAGACTAAACTAGTTAAAATATAGGGAGAGAGTTGTAGTCCCTACTATCAAACACTGAAAAACTTAGTTTGTGACTGGATTAAGTTCAAAGAACATGCAAATACGCTGAAAATGCAAGTATAAACTGAGGAAACATTATCCTAAGGCTGAATTCAAGCTTGAATACTTGAAAACTGAAGGGGAACTATTACTCAAGCAGGAGTGGATTCAAAAGGAAAGAGGTGAGGTTACTTGGTTTTCATGTTTTCTTCTGCTTCCCATGTAGCTCCTCTATGGACCGACTCCTCTACAAAAGCTTGACTGATGCGACTTATTTGTTTCTAAACATTCTAACTTGACTGTCAACAATCTCAACTGGTACATCTTCATAAGAAAGACCATCATTCACAACCACACTCTCTAATGACACTATAGAGGTAGGGTCACCCACACACTTCTTCAAGAGCGTGATGTGGAAGACTGGATGCACTGCTGCTAGTTCTACTGGCAACTCTAACTTATATGCCACCTTGCCAACCCTTTTCAATAACTTTTAAGGGCCTACAAGTATAGGAATGTGCTTCTCTTAATTGCCAAATCTCATCACCCCTTTAAAAGGTGACACTTTCAGGAAAACTCAATCATCAACAAAGAATTCTAGTTCCCTTCTCCTTACATCTGTATAAGATTTCTAATGACTCTGGGTTGTCTTAAATCTATCTCTAATGGGTTGCACTTTATCTATAGCATGAATGACTGAATCTTGTCTTATCGAAGCTATTTCTCCTACTTCAAACCAACCAACAAGAGATATATATTTACGCCCATACAGTGCCTCATAAGGGGCCATCTAAATGCTTGAATAGTACCTATTATTGTAGTATAACTAAATAAGAGGGTGGTGATCATCAAAACTACCGTTAAGATCGATGCAAGTATATAGTCTGTGCCCATCGATCAACTGCCCATTTATCCAGCCTATGACATTAACCACGATTGATCATTATTGTCCGTAGATGGATCTGCGGACCGTAGGTCAAAATTTGCAGACATTTAGGGGGAAAATGTTGTTGGGTTAAATTCAAATGATTATAACTCTTAGAAAAAATAAATTACTTCTCCCATGACCTATGAAATGATAGATAATAAAATTATTTTTCTATAGTCACCGCATTTTCTAAAATAAGACTTCCAAGTAAAAAGTTATGCCCGTTTTAGTAAAGGCCTTCAAAAAGGACACAACCTACAGAGCAAAATGACTAACAGTCAATTGAACAACGGCCTGTCTGTCCATATCATCCTTTGGTGCGAAAACAATTTACTCAGGGGTCTTTTGGTCTTTTCCCACTTTGTTTAAACTCTAAGATACGTCGTTTTGACCCTAAATTATAAAATTTTAGTCAGTTTAAGCCTAGAAACATAATCAAAACTTAACTAAGGCAAATCATTAAATCAAAATTTAGAAAATTAGAAGCAATAAAGGAGATAAACGTCAAGAAGCCTAGTTTAAGAATGAAGCAAGGTTCCCTCAGTTCTAGACCCAAAATCTAAATATTTCTCCGTGGATTTCATCTCCATGTATGTGAGGTTTAACTAGTGGGTTCCTTTACCCATCATAACCTTAGTTTTTCATTTCTTGATTCTCATATCATGATTTACCTAGGGTTTCTATAATTACAACAGATCATCATAAATTTGTTAAGTTTACATTCCAAATAAGATTATAAAGTTATTATTCAATTTAGGGCACAAATTTCATAACTCTAGCTATGTATTTCTTTAGTTCTTGAATTATACATACTAGGTTAGATATTTTAGTTACTTTAGATATACATGCCTCAGTTATTAATGCATCATTATCATGTTAATGTTGCATTCTCAGTTTGTATGTTCAGTTTTGAGCTATGTAGTATTTGAGGAAATTCAGTCATAATGTATTGATCACTTTATTTATTGGGAGTATCACAGTAGCGAGTTTGACTAGGGTTCAGCATATCTAATCAGTCCCAGAACTACTAGCCAATTAGGTTGTAACTCCCCTCTATGGGCATAAATTTAGTGATCACGACAGCATGCCATTGTACCTCTGGCAGGGTATATTGGGTCCTCTCGATGGGGCGTATACATCAGATTCCCCATTTAGCTTTTGTGGTTTTATTGTCGGTTATTAGTAGGTCCCACAGTGCACTCAGACTCTATTGCATTGACCATAATTACAGTTCAGTTATTATTTAGCCTCAGCATGCTATAAATTTTGTCATTTGCATCCAGTTAGATTAGAATTTAGTATATCATATCCAAAATATTATACTTCTTTTGTAATTGTTCAGTTATCTTTTATATTAGATTTACTCTATCCTACATGATTAGTACCTTTCAAGAACTGACGTATCCAGATGCCTCTTAGATCGATGTTCGATTTCCAGTTTAGTAGAATCACTGGTTACTCCAAGGACAATATTCATGAGTTTCTTTTAGTGTTTTGGTCTTTTAGTGTTAGTATTCCTAGACTTAGATTGGGCCTTGTCCCAACATTTCTTGTTAGTTTGACGCTTATTTCAGACATAGTTAGTTTTAGATTAGTATTGAGTTAATATATTCTTTTTATTAAAATCATCAGTTTTCAAATATCTCAGTTATAGAGTATGGGTATTCCCCATATTTTCAATTTACATTATGATATAACCTACGCATTGAGTTATTATCTTTAGTATGTTCATGATCATGCAAGCAGGGTTAGCTTGCGATCACTTCTGGTCCTAGGTATAGTGTCCATGTCAGGGGTAGCTCGAGGCATGACACACTTTCATTGATTGCAATAGAGGCTTTGTAGACATTGTAAGGCTATCATTTGTAGTTGTAATTTCACTTGTCACATGTAGAAGTTCAGCTAGTCAAAATGTGTTGTAGATGAAGCTTCTCATCAGTAATCTGAACAGTAGATTATTTTCTCATCGTAGGTTACTTGTAAAACATCTGTTCATAAGGTACTTATCTGCCTCATCGATAGTTGGGTGTGACATGTTCTTTAAACTCTTTGAACTCTACTAGTGACATTTTATATGGTTAAATAGAGATAGGATGAATATCTGGAATTATGTATATGTCGAAGTCTATTTCTCTCTCAGGAGGGATTCCGATAGATCATCTAGAAAGACTTCTGGAAACTCTTTTACTACTGAAACTAAAACTAACTGAATAGGAGGTATCTCAACACTAGAGTCATTCACTTGGACTACGTTATAGACACTCCCCTTAGAAAATTCTTTCCTTGCTTTAGGTTATGACTTGAAATGACCCTTAGGCACTGCTAAATTGTTTTTCCACGGTAAGACTTGCTCATTTGAAAACTAAAACTTGAAAACTTGTGTTCTACAATTTCTTGATGCGTAGAAGGCATGAAGCCAGTCTATAACAAGAAAGACATCGAAATCTATCATGTTTAACACAATTAAATCATCCATGGTACTTATAGTAAATGGTAACGGGACAATCATGATAAACTCACTCACCTAATATAGACTCACCAAAAGGAATCGAAACACCGAAGGTTTCACTAAGTTGTTCAGGAATAACATCAAAATACATAACAACATATGGATTTACAAAATATAAACTCCCTCTTGGTTTTATCTAAGCATAAACATTGGAGTTAAAAACCCAAATAATACTAGTGACAACATCTGGAAAATATTCTTGCGCTCTTGCCTATTGTTTATAACATATAAGCGGTTTGATCCTCCATACTATTTCCTTGCATGTTCTTTGGACACACTTTTTTGAAGTGGCCCTCTTGTCCACACTTGAAGCCACATGTTTGGCCGTGACGAAATTTCCTTGTTGGATTTTACCACACCTAGCATATACAGGAGCCTGATTACCTCTTTGTTCCACACTACCCTGAAACTGTGCAAGTCTAGATCTGAAGTTATGTTAATTCTGGCAGTATACAAACCTTTATACCTACTTTCAGGTTTACTAGAAGATGATGGAGCCGTTCCATTTTGTTTGTGTTGGAAAGATGACTGATTGGAATTACTTTTATGCCTCCCTAAATCATTTCATGCATTATCCCCCTTGTTCTTGATCTCCACTCTATCTCTAAGCTTCTTTTCCTATACATTATTCACATAGATCATCAACCTCGAAGTTTCTATGTCCCCAATAAGTATTTTTGCCCGACCTTCTTTGCTTGATAGATGAGAAAATAAGCAACAAACAGTTTCTTCCTACTCCTCATGTATGCAACCATTTCCGGAGGATAATGGGATAGTTAGGTAAAGTTCAATCCATATTATTGGATACTAAAAGAAACTTGCTTAAGTGTGAGCAACTCATGTACCTTCGCCTCTTCCAGTTCTCAAGGAAAT